ACATCTACCGGCCCGTCTTCCAGCCGCCCCCGCAGCCTCCCCAGGGCGCGGCGGGGCCGCCGCCGGACGCTGTGCCGGAGAAAAGGCTCTGAGAGACGCTGGTGAAGCCTCGCTGCTGCCCGGGCGCCTCTCCCCGGCACCGCCGCGCAGACCCGACCTCCGTGCCTCCCGGCAGAGGAGATGGCGCCCAAACGTCTCGCGCAGCCGGAGCGTTCGTCGCCTGCCCGGGAAGGTCCCTCCGGCCTCCTCTGCAGCCGGGCCCTGCTCCCAAGCAACCCACCCCCTGAAGATGTAACTCTGTTCGGTACCAGCCTGTAGGGGCGCGAATGTTAAAACTTGTGTAAAATGGTGTTTAAAGGTATGTCCTCACCTCTATAAATAACCATCAGGGAACTGGAAAAAGAAAGTCGTTGTTGTACAGTTGCTCTTCATGTGGTTTTCTTGGATTGCCTCTGGTCTGACCCTCCAAGTGACAAATACAGTTTGTATCTACTTGTTACAGTTTCAGTTAATACCTCAGTTCCTTTGGGAATGCAGCTGGACTGGTGGCTGGGAAGGGAACTACACCTGCCTGCGGTGTCCTTGGCTTGCCTTCCTACCTGTGTGCAGAGACACACACACACCACACACGCATCTTTCATCCCTCACTGAGTAAGGGTAGAGTGAATGAGGATTTTTAATCAGTGAAGTCGCCTGACAGTCGGGTTGTGCTTGGAGAAGAGCTTCAGCCTGTAGCTCAGTAGGACAGGATTGATTTTGCAGTGGGTGTGGATCAGTCTGACAATGAGAACAGACTCAGGGAAACGAGACCAGTAGATATTTCAAAACAGTAAATCTAAAAAGAAACCCAAACCTGCACATCCTGGGAGGAACTTTATGGCTTTAACACAGAACCTTGTTTGCTCAGCATGCGGGGAGAATGCCTTTCCGGGGATGTGCCTTTTTTAAAGCCAGTAACAGTGTGACAGCTGGAGACCGTGGCTGGGGTACAGAGCTAAGATCAGAGGATAGCACTGGAAAGTGGACTGAGAAGTGAAGCTGAATGCATGATAAATAGTTTGGACACGAGGAAATGCCTCTGTCTTTTGTCTTTGATGAGTGCAAACACAGGACTACCGAGGTATCTCCAGCAGCTTCCTTTCTTTGCAGGACCATTAGCTATTGAAAAGGTGCTTTCACAAAGGTGTAGCTGAAGTCCAGTAGGCACTTACTTTGGAAGTGTAGTTGCTGGGAGCTTGTCAATAAAAACAGCAGTTGCTTTTGAAAAGTCTCAAGAAAGAGGGTGTATGAACTCATGCAGACAGGAGGGGTTATTGATGCGACCGAGCTGAACACTGTCCTTGCCAAGTTCTGGATTTAGAGTGGGATATTGAGCAGCTGCCGGGAGAGCAGAAGGTGCTTTCCCGCGGCGAGGGAAGGCCGCCGGCAGGGACAGAGGGACAGACCCCTCAGGGAACCCACCGCGGCGCTGCCGGGCGCCGCCAGTTTCCTCCTCACAGCCTGTTTTGCCTCATGAACTTTGATCAAGCGGTGCGTGCTCTTTCAGAAGGGCTGAAGAGCCCGCCTGCTGAATTAAACACGTCCCGGGTGTGAGCAGCAGGGGCAGTGCCCGAGCGGTCTCGGCAGCCCCCCCGGAGCCGGGGCCGGGGCTG